ACAATTGTAAGTTTTCCCATTTCTTCAAATCTAGGGCTATCTGTTGTTTAAGTTTAATATAGTTGTCCTCTTTTAATGTGCTACATCTTGGCGTCAAATATATCCCCAAATACTTAACCTTGCTTGTAACTTGGATTTTCAACAGTTCTGCTAATTCTTCCCTTTGTCTTAATAACATATTCTTTGACAAAATCTTTGTTTTGTCTTTATTTATTTTCAGACCGGCCACCTCACCATATATCTCTATTTTTTCCAGCAACTTCAAGGCTGTCTCTATAGGATCTTCTAAGATAAAAACTAGGTCATCTGCAAAAGCTTGTAATTTAAATTCTTCCTTTTTAATTTTCATTCCTTTTATAGTTTTATCTTCTCTAATATTTCTATTCAACACTTCCGAAGTCAGTACAAATAACAAGGAAGAAAGGGGACAACCTTGTCTTGTGCCTTTTCTAATATTAATAGAGTCTGTAAATTCTCCCTCCATCATTACCTTAGCTGTTTGTTCATTGTAAATTGCTTCTATTGCCTGAATAAATCTTCTAGCAAAGCCCATCTGTTCCATTAAAAGTAACATAAATCTCCAATTCACGTTATCAAATGCCTTTTGGGCATCTAAAAATATCAAGGCCATTTGTTTTTCAGGATGCGCCTCATAGTATTCCAAAGTATCTAGAATTACTCTCATATTGTCTCTAATTTGCCGCTTTGGCAAAAACCCATTTTGATCTGGATGAATAAACTTATTCAAATATTTTTTAAGTCTTTCTGCTAGTATAGAAGCAAAGATTTTATAATCTGCATTTAATAAAGAAATCGGTCTGTAATTCTTAATTTGGAGTGGATCCGCCTCTTCTTTAGGAATAAGTGTAATATAAGCCTCTGACCATGTTTTAGGTATCATCTTCTTTGACATGACTTCATTCATAACTTCTAGCAGCGGAATACACAGTGATTCTTGAAATGTTTTATAGAATTCTACAGGAAACCCATCTGGACCTGGTGCTTTCCTGTTATTTTGTTTCTTAAGTGCTTGAGTTAATTCCATCATTGTTATATTACTTTCTAACATTTCTTCAATCTCTTTAGGTATCTTAGGTAAATTTGCACTCTGCAGGTACTGTTTGACTTTCTCCTCATCAATATCTTCTTTCTTATATAAATGTCTATAAAAGTCTTGAATAATTTCTTTTTTCTCTTTGCTGCCATAACAAATTTGACCTTGGTCATCTATTAACTGCAGTATTTTCCTCGACTCTTTCTCCTTTCTCAACTTATATGCTAGCCATCTACCTGGCTTATTTGCATCTTCAAAATAATTCTGTTTAGCATTCCTAATTATCTGCGCCAGTTCTTCTTTCTCTATTAAATCCATTTTATGTTTAGTTATATCCAGTTTCAGTTTAACGTCTTTTTTCTGAGGCATTTCCTGCAGTTCCTTTTCAAGTCTTTTATACTCATCCTCCAAGGCTTTAATAGCTTGCCTTTTCCTAGCATTCTTTTTTCTTGTATGGTCTATTATCAAGCCTCTAGTATATGCCTTCATTGTATCCCAAACATTCTGTATTGAAGTGTCTTCTTTTCTATTTTCTTTAAAAAAGAAGGCCAGTTCTTTCTCCATCCATTGTGTAAATTCTTTCTCCTTTAAAATAGTATTATTTAACGTAGTAAATACTATTTAAAATAGTATTATTTAACTCAATCTTTTTTTTTGTCCCTTCCATTTAATTGTCAATGGGTTATGGTCAGCCCAAGTACTTGTTTCAATATTTACTTCTTGAACACTGGATATTAAATCTGTTGAGATCCAAATCATATCAAGTCTGGACCATGATAAATGTCTATTTGAATAGAAAGTATATTGCTTAAGTTTAGCATTTCTTTCTCTCCATATGTCTTTTAAAGTTAATTCATCTATCATTTTAAAGAAAGATTTAGGGAGTATCTTTCTGTTGTGCTTTGCCGTTGTTGCTATATAGTCCAATTTATTGTCCACAATTCCGTTAAAGTCCCCCAACATAATTATATTAGCATAGTCCAGTCCAGTTGTAATTTTTTATAAAATTCTTCTTGTTTATCATTCAGGGCGTAAATTGCAATCAAAAGTATCTTTCTATTATTGTCCATTATTTCCACCATTAATATTCTCCCCTCTTCATCAGCATAAATTAGTTTTGCTGGGGTAGCCTCTTTAATATATAAGACTACTCCTCTTTTTTTACATTGGGTCAAAGAAGTAAACAATTTCCCTAATTTTGGTTGTACTAACAATTGTTCATGTTGCTTTTTAATGTGTACTTCTTGTAAGCAAATTATATCAAACTTTAATTTCCCTAATTTATGAAAAGTCTTCCTTCTTTTAACGGCTGAATTCAGTCCATTTATATTTATTGTAATCAGTTTTTTCTCTTCCATGGTTATATTTTATATTTAGATTTAGCCGCTCTCTTGGATCTTAATTCACGCTGGTCCTTAATATCCACCTGTCCACCTACTGCGCCTTCTTCTTTTCCAATCTCCATTTGTTCCTCTTGAAATTCAATTAATGAAATCTCTTTTTCTGCCTCTTCTTCTCTCCCTCCAAAAAATTCTGTGTAGAAAAGTTCTGCTTTCTCAATTGAATCAATTCTATGTCTCTGTTCTTGCCATGTAAACATCAATCCTTCTGGGATCAACCATCTGTAATTCACCTCCTTTTCAATAACATTTTAGTCAGAAATCGATATTCTCTTCTCCTCTCTCTCACTCTTCTAGGTACTTGTTTTAAGACCAAGATTTCTTTACCTTTATATTTCAACGTCTTCTCTCTTGCCGCTTGTAAAATTTGTGTCTTCATGGATTTTTTAATAAATCTGATATGAACTTCTCTGGGCAGATTATTTCTCATCGCGTATCTTGTAAAGACTCGATATATCTCATCTATTCCATCCATCATCTTTTCTTCTGTTATTTCCAAGACGTCCGCCAAGATTCCTATCATTATCGCAGCCAAATCTTGCCCTTTTTCTTCTTCTATATTTTGAAATCTAAGATAAAATTCTGACTTCTCCATCTCCCACTTCAGCATCCCACTTTTTTCTTGTTCAAGCTCTGTTACTCTGCTATCAATATTTCCAATCTTCTCCTCTCTTCGTTTACCCCCTTCTTCAACTTTTTGAAGTCTCTCCTCATACTTTGCCATCATTTGTTGAATATTTTCCACTTTTTCCTCCATCCTCCCTGTTCTTTGTTCGATGGTATCAATTTTTATCTTAAGGTCTTGAATTCCTTGCATGATCATCTGTAAGGTTGCTTTTTCTTGTTCTTTTTCTTTATCTTGCTTTAACATTGCCTGAATTGAACGTTGTCCAGATGGTGGGGAGGCAGAGGCAGAGGTAGACACAGAAGCACCTGAAGGTATAAGTTTCCTACTCATTTTAGATGATTCCAAATCTTCAAATTCTTTCAAGTTTTAATCCAATTTTTTTTAAAAAAAGTGGCCAATTATAATCCAAAATAAAAAAAGAGAGAAAGGAAAAAAGAATAGGGTGGATTTCTTCAAACTCCACACCTTAATCCAGCCAAAAAATTCTCAATTGAAAAAAAAGAAAAAAAAGAGAAAAAGGTAGTCCAAAGTATACATTAAAAAGAAAAGCAAAAATCCCAATGGAAAAAAGAGAGAGAGAGAAAAAAATCAAAATACAATAAAAAAGAAAAATTCAAAGGCTTCCCCTTGAGAATAAATAAAAATAAAAAATAAGGACCTTACTAGGATAATAATACACAATAATGCTAGTAGAGGGGGTAGCGGAACTAAAAAAAAAAGATTAGAAAAAAAAATAGAAACAATACACTGCACTTTACTTAATTGTCCAAGGCTCTAATTATGACTCCCTTCTCTTTCCCACAAACTTCAGGCCAAGTCTTAAATATTTAATTGTAGACAGAAACTCAGAGGAGCACCTGTAATAATATTCTACTCTGCTCTTCCCTTTATCTTATCAAGAAATGTCCTTGAGAAGGAGTTTTTCACTTCTCTCTCCAGTTCAAGTAAAGTATTTCCAAGCCTATATTTGGCAGTGTTACAAAGTTTCTTAGTTCTCACTTTCCCCCCTCCTCTCAGTATAGCATACTTAAAGAGAAGAGGAAAAAAAAAA